GTGGTCCTTGGGTGCTAGTGGCGTCTGTGCGTTGGGGAACGAGGTTGTGAGTGTGGCGAGAGACATACCTGGTGCTGGAAGCGTGCGACACTGGTTGCCATATGCTCGTACTTCGGGAAAGTTGTTGACGTCATCTTTCGGCATCGTAGTATAGGCTAGATAGGATCTGCCACATGTAGTCTGGGCGTCGAGCGCCAGATAGGATATCAACTCTGGTTCTTCGTTGATGATGATGGGACTATTTCAGCATTGTCAATTATGAACTCTTGGTGTGTTCTTATTTGGTGAATCTCGTGATGCAATTCTGTTGTTGGTTCGAGGTCACGACTATCTGGACTCATATGTATGATGTTGTTTGACTGCTGAAGTTCGCTATTGCTCATCTTCCTTGCAATTTGGTATCAGAGTTGTGGTACGATTGCGCTCATTTGGCGCTTGTCTTCTGCCTTATGCGGTACATACATGCTGTCTGCTTGGCGAGTTTGGCCGTAAGTGGTGTGTAGTGAGGAGGGTGGAGACGAGTGTATAGGCGACCCAGGAGGTGAGGGGATCGCCAGGAAGGCTACGTGGGGGTAATGTGGTCTGGACAGTGTGATGAGAACTATCTAATGTGCGATTAATGCTGAGGTGGAACGGCGAGATAATGTTGGTTGTGCCGATGCAGTGACTGGTCATTGCAATCGCCATCAGGTCATCTGGTGAGATTATCTCTGTGGTTGGGGGCAGCTATTTGAGGTACGTTGCTCTTAACCTTATCTACCCTCTTCGACACTTCTTACCGTGAGGTTGTGTGTTCCTTCTTGAGAGTCCTCTCATTGTGAGGTGTCGAGTGCGCTCAACCTTGAGAGTCGACAATGTTCACGTGGAGCATCTGAGAGAAGATGGGCGGAGCTTTCTGAAGGGCCCTGGACGAAGCACTAGGTCACGGTCACCAAGCCAACCCACAGGTAGTAGAGCACGCATGCCTTGCTGCTTGTCCTTAGTTCGGCTTGCTGCGTTGTTAGATGGGTACTGATGGGCAGGCCAGCCCTTGAGGGAGACGAGACCGGGCGTCTTTAAACAAGCACCGAAAGGGGAACCATTGGCTGTGATCGTCGTCTGGCTGCGACGTAAAAGAATTCCTGGAGTCACTTGGGGGCGAACGGTAAATTGCCTCTGGATCAGCCAATGGTTGTAAGGCTCGCTGCACGCGAGGATAATCCAGTGCAGGGCTGGCCAGCTCAGCAGATACTTGGGGCACAGGGGTGGGCCGAACACACACCTTTAGACACGCAACGCCTCCGGATTGCTCAGGGACGCTGACATCAAGTGATACTCAGGGGAACTAAGGGAGGGGTAAATTCCAGTTGATAAGTTCGAGACAGACAAATAATTCTATTTTTCCTATCCACACAAATAATTATATTCTTATGTTTTGATTAGTTAGGTGTACGGCCATTGACATCTGACAGACAACATTAGTTAGAACTGTTTATTGTTCCTAGTACTTCTGTTTGCGGACTAGTCAAACTAGAAATAGTTTTAGTTGTAGGAACTTGACTTACATGTTGACCCGAATGTAAAGTCTCCGAAATAGCCACCAGTTTATTGGTCTGTGCACTACGTTGC